GGATTTGGTGCCAGGGAGGGAGGCGGGGAGAAAGGGAGGGAAGGAGGGAGGAAGGGTGGGGGAGAGAGAAAGAGACCGAGCCCCCGGCAGGTGGAGGGGACAGCAGGTACGGATATAGGGTGTGTTTGAGGAGGCAGATGTCCCCGGAGCAGAACCAGCTGGGGGTGTGGGAATGGCCTGCTCGAGCCTTTTCATCACACATACTCTCGGGGCCACTGCTGGGTGCCAGACGCCCCCGAGGTGCACTGAAATACAGGCAGGGCAGGGCCACCCCCAGAGCCTCAGGGCTGCCCCACGCCTGTCTACCTGTGCTCTGAGCCCAGGCCCAGGTCAGGCTCCCAGGCCACGCACGGTCAGCTCCACCAGGAAATTCAGAAAACTGAAGGCAAGAGCCCAGGGATCGCTGGCACCTGTCCACGGCACCCGGCACGTTCAAGCCCCCGTGGGCACTATGCCACACAAGGAGTGAGGCCCACCCCGTCCTGCGAGGGGTCCCTGCTGCAGGAGCCCCAGTGTCCCAACAACCTGGCCAGTCCCAGGATGCGGCCAGGGTGCCCCAAACCCCGCTCTGAGCTCAGGCCAGTGCCCACGTCGGGACACGCTCCCTGCCCGGGCCACGGGCAGCCCCCAGCAGACCCAGGGCTCGGACGGGGGCAAGCAGCCACACTGTTACCTGGTGGTTTGGGTGGCTGACACAGAGCGCCCTCCACTGTCTTCACGCTCAGAAGCACGGACGGCAGTGGGTGCTCATTCAGCATGTTTGGATCCGAGTGTTTGCTGGACTCGGCTTGGGTCAGACCAGTTTTCGGGGCCTTACTGTCTATGTGTTGAAAATTACAAGTGGGGAACTCTATCTTCCCGCCAGACTCGGCGTTGGCGGACTGCACTTTACAGCCTGTCTCAGCCGACCTCCTGAGGGGCACAGGCAAGGTGCAAGGAAGTACCTTTGCATCTTTCAGTTTCGAGTCTTGCTGGAGAGCCGAGTGTGGAGGTCCTAGAGGCTGGTTTGGCATGGCCGAGGGGCACCTCCCTTTTAGGGGCTGAGTGTCCAAGAGGGAAGATGAAAAATTCACGTTGGAAATGGGCGGCATCTGCTTCTTGGCTCTCCTCACGCTAACGCCTTCCACGCAAAGGTCGGACCCGTGGAAGGGTGGCAGCTCCACAGAGGGCTAGGCAGAGGAGGGCGGCGTTAGTGCCCAGGGACTGGTGCTCCCCTTCCTGTGTCTGCTGGCCGGCCTGCTGGCGGTCAGGCCTCAAGAGAACCCAGGCCACACTTCCCGTGGCTGCTGGGCTGCCCACCAAGTCCCTCCTCCAGAGAGGCCCGGGCACAGGATCCCGCCATGGAACCAGAGTCCCTGGCAATGTGACCACCCAGTCCTGCTGCCTGGCCTGCAGGAAGGCTCCCAGGAGGGAGCAGGCACCAGGCGGGACCCCTGAAGGAGGACACAGTTTTCCCCAGGTGGGAGGAGGGTGGACACTGCAGGTCTGGAAAGGAGCAGCCTAGATTCTAAGCCTGGAGACCATGGGCCTCGTACCATTCCAAGCAGGGGGCCTCCTCGCCTAGTGACCACAGAGCTGGGGATGGCTAGGGAGGAGAGGGAATAAAGCAGAGTGGTGAAGGCCAGCCGGGGCCAGGGAGTCCCCGGGGCTACCCGAGGTACTGTCTGCTCTCTTTGCCTGAAGTGGCTACACCGGGGACGGTGGGCAGCAGTGCCGCGTCCCCCCACCCCCAGCGCCGCGCCCCTCACCTGTCTCCACAGCAGCTCGAAATTGCCGATGTCGCAGTTGCGGTCGATCTTGCGGTCCACGACCACCTTGATGGTGTCCTCCTGCACCTGGGCGCACAGCTGGGCCGTGACGGGCGTGGACGCGTGCATGGTGGGGCTGGAGTTGATCTCGATCAGCCAGGGCTGGAAGTCGCGCCCCAGGATGAAGTCGGCCCCGTACAGCTCGAAGCTGTTCTTGCGCGGTTCCACGTGGTCCTGGGCCACCCTCATGGTGTTGGCGATGGCCCGCTTCATGGCGGGGTAGATGACACTGGCCCACATGGCCCCGCGGCCCCTCTTCCGTAGGTACTCCCGGAACCTGGTGCTGGTCCACATGTTGTGGTAGGGCAGCAGGGGGCTGCGGCCCTTGTCGTTCTTCAGGTGCTTCTGGATGGAGTTGTTGCATAAGTGGATGGCGCTGCGCGAGGCAAGCCGCGATCAGCCTGGGGTTCCTGGGACTCTGGACCCCCGACCGTGCCCTCGGACCGCCTCCCACCTCCCCCGCCCCAGGACCCCGGACCTCC